TACTATAAGTTCTTCCATATTATATTTTTTTTATCTTTTAACTAATAATTTTGTTATAATACAATACTATATTAGAAAAATATACCTTAAATCTATTAAGTGAACATTTCTACTTGGTACTATTTTTTTTTGATGAAATTTATTCACAAAAATTGATAATTCCTCATATTCTTAATTTTAAAAATGACCTTCACAATGACTTCAATAAATTTGATTTCAAAGATAACTTTCTTCATTATGAAAGATATTTATATCTTTTTAATGATATAATGCAATTATGTATTTAAAAGCACAACATGTCTTTTCAACATTATATTATTTTAAATTAATAAAAATACTAGAACTTTTTTTAAGAGATTTTTGGTGGCCACAAATATAAAAATAATTAAAAAAAATATATTAAATCATATGATACTTGCCTTAAAGCAAAGACTCAACATCATTGACCTTATAGACTTTTTTAATCCTAATTTATTTTAAAATAGAAAAGGTCATCTATCTCAATGGATTTCATTATAGATCTTCTAATTTCAAATTTTTATGGCCTTATCTTTGCAATAGTAGATTATTTCACCGAAATAATATATTTTGTATCATATTTAAATATAATTACCAATAAAGAAAGAACAAAACTTTTTTTTGGTAATATTAATTTCTATCATGGATTTATAAGTAATAATATATTTGATTATAGAACTAAATTTAATTCAAGCCTTTAGAAGATAGTATTTAATATATTATAAATTGATTTTAAGTTATCTTTGAATTTTTATTTTTAAATTGATGAAAAATTTAAACGAGTAAATGATGTATTAAAAACAATATTTACAAACACCATCAATTGAAATGAAGACAACTGGATAACTTTCTTAACATAAATAAAATTTCATATAATAATCTGGTATATTTTTTTATTCAATAAATCTATTTTTTCAATTATAATTAAAACCTAAAAATTAATATTTTTGGATTTTAAAAAATTAAAATTCTAATAATATAAGAACTAATTGATCTTATGATAAGTCGGATTATCAAAGACTTGATTTATTTTTTTAATCACAAAATAAAATAATTTAGTAAAATTTTAATTATAATTATCACTATCAATAAAGATCTATTTTATATTTTATATATCTTTTATCAAGCTTTATATAACAATCAATATATTGAGAAGAAAATAATCACCACCACTTCTTGTTGAAATAGATAATAACCAAGATTTTGATGAAAAAAAAGACTTGAAATTAAGGCAATACTAAAATAAATTTGATTATCTTATACATTGGCACAAAATGTGATATTAATAAATGATTATAGAAGCCATGCAAGAATCTAACAAATATGTCTAAAATTATTTATATTTTTTTTTTATCAATGACATCTATCAAAACTAAGGACTAATCATTATCAATAAGATGGTATAAATTATAAAAAAACAAATACAAGAAATAACATGTATGGTTATTTTTCAAATATAGAGAACCAACATCTAACAAATTCATCTCAATAATTATAATTTATCAAATTATTAGATGAAAAATTTAGATTGTCTCAATCTAAACAACGTTGCAATTGTCACAAATATACTCTACAAAATAGACATGTATCTTGCAAGTTAGACATGTGTCATATGGCCTATAAGATATTTCTATGTAGTTTTTTAGTACATAACATACAAAGATGCTAAAGTGAAGTCTTCTTTACTATTGTCAATGTCTTTAATGTATTTTAGCTTAGTTTAAGACATCCATCTTTTTGAATTTGGCAATGGTCTTTCCAATTTTAATTCTATATCTATTTTTAAGTTCTCTACTTTCTTTCTTTTGGTGATATAAGAGTGTACTGTCATTTTTAGAATTTGGTTGTTGATCATATCCTTGATAATTTGAAATAACAAAGAGTTTTTTCTTTCAAAGAAACTATAAAGCTAAATTAGTAGATATAAAATATAATTAAATTTATTTTTTTAGCAAGTTGGATAGATATGTAATATCTTTTAATATTAAAAAATCTTAAAATATTGATAAAAAGAAATTATCATTAGATACATCACATAACCATTATATATATTTCTTTAAATTTCTTATATTTAAATAAATACAATAGAAGTACTTCATAAATAAAATAATAGTTTTATAAATATTGTATTTTTTAGAAAAGCTTTTATGTGGCTATGGCTTTTTTGATAGTTAGCATATATAGAGAGAAGACTAAAATCAAGTTCAATCTTGCTAATGTGTTTTTTTATACATTGATCTTAATTTAAAATTTTGAGTATTTTTATAAATATTATTTTTAATTTAATAAAATTTTATTTTTATTATTTTTTATTATAATTAGTATTTTTTGATATATTTAATTTAATTTAATTTTTTAAAAATACAAATATTAATCTTTAAACATCATTAAAATAATAAGATAATAAATAATCATATAATTTTTAATAAAGTATCTAATTGTATTAATGTAAAATTTTAAAATTAATAAATAAAATTAAAGTAATTAATAAACAAGATTAGATAACAGTACCAAATTTAAAGCTATATTTAAAATATCAAAAGATAGCCAATTATGTATACTACCATATAAGAAGTCTTGCAAGTTACATTTTAAACAAGATTTTAAGATAAACTTTAAAAGATTGATATGGTCATTGTTTGAGAGTTTTTTTCTACTTGTAATTTTCAAAAACATTGATAGATTTTATAGTAATTTTTCTTTACAAACACTTAAAATTTAGCTTAAAAAGACAATTTTTTTTTTTTTAATATCTAAGGTAAAACAAAGGTATTCACTAAGATAAAACAAAGGTATTTTTGTTCTTAAAAAAATGGTATTAAAAAATTATAATATTACAATTATTAAAAAAAATCAATGTCAATTTCATTATCTATAAACTCCTTACATCTTTGTATAATAAATGTCATTCACAGAAGCTATTAGTTTGGAACATTAAAAAAAAAAAAAAAAAAAAAAAAAACTATATATAACTTTACATAATGTCAATAGTTTTGGCATTGTTGATAGCTCTACTTCATTCATTTAATAAACACTTCAAAAAATAACAACAACAAATTTCCAAGAAGAGTTCATTCTGATTTTACCTTCATTTTCTTCAACCAAGATTTTTCCAAAAGGCAATTTTTATGTCTACATATTGTGCAGTGTAGTTGAATCGAATTCCTTTGATTGGTAATCCTCTTGCATATATATTTCTTTCATCATGGAATGTATAAATCTTTTACTTTGCTTCAAGTTTTTGAAATTGTGAGTTATTCATTTACCAGCCCATTCTCCTCTTGTGAAGACTCCTTGTGTGACACTAATTGTTAAAGGCTGTTCCATGATCCGAGTTTAGACCTTCCTCCTCTAGCAAGGAAAGCAGGAGGGTGCCAACCCTAGGTTTAGGGTTTAGAAATTAGGATTTCAAAGAATTAGGGTTTAGGGTAGCTCTTCTTCCGCCATGTCCAGTGACGATACTTCCTGCTTTCAAGAAGAGAGTGGTGATCTGAATCTTGTGGTTCTAGTTTTCAAGTTCCGGCGGTTTCACATCCTACGATACTGCTAGTGAGTTTTTAAAGCTTGTTTTTTCTCACAAGTTGCAGTGGCACGGGATTCAAGGCCTGGTCATTGCTCCAATTGCAACTCCATTCTTCTGTGCATGACATGCAGGGAAGTTGTGTGAGGGGTTTGGTGTGGCTACACTTGAGGAGTAGCGTTCAATCCAAGTACGTGGACACCATGCTGCTGAACTGCTGAGTAATTCTGACGAGGTGGTTACATTCGTAGAACCTGAGTCCGGGCGGGGCAGCGTGTTCTGGTTGTTCAATCCCAGCTTTGTGGATAGCAACTCTGTCTTTTTCAGGAAAATTAGCTAGCTAATTAGGTGGATGAATCTTATTATGAGTGAAAGAGTTGTAGCGGTGAGAGGTGAAAACCCTATTGTTGACCAGAGGAGAGGTCTTCGTTAATAAACGGATTTTAGACACATTTAGTGTTGGGTTTTGTTCGTGTACCTTTCGGGTTGGATGGAAAGAGATCGTCCATTTTCCACGGCGTGGAGTAACTCAGAAAGCAAATATTCTCCCAGGGGATTCAGTCGCCATGATGCTGTTTTCGAGAAGCTTTCCCACATATTTTCGCTGCTCTGCGGCGCAAAACAAGGTGGTGATGGAGGTGGCTACTGGGGACATGACCACCACTGGACAATGACAGAGCTAGCTGGGATCGCTAGCACGCCACATTATTGCACCATTGAATAAATGTCATGCGGGCATTGTGCTCTGAGACTGGAGGATTGGAAAAAGTGCAGAGCTTACAAGAGACTCAAGTGATGCCAGCTATTCTCCATCCCACTTGAATCTGGCTATCTCTGAGCTCCTGCCCCTCTTAAAATCATGGTGGCTGACAATGAGAGCGAATCGGGTAGTTTTCAGAACCGCCCACACAAGATAGGAATTTTATATTTTGAGAGTGCCCAATCCTCTTTCATGTTTCGAGTGAACCTTCGCCTGCCAGTGAACCGGCATCCACTGTCTGCATAGATAAGCCTAGATCTTGCCGAGCACCGTGCTCCTCCATCCGAACTGCCACAATAGACATACCCAACAAAAATGATCACACTTGACAGAGAAAGAGCGTACAAAGTGAAAAATGTTCGCTTAGAGAAACGACGTGCTGCCATGAGTCCAGCTTGTTTTGTCTTATCTTTCGCATTTTTTCCAAAAGTTTCTTTAGTCCCCATACAGAGGCACTTTATTCTATATGCTTCATCAATCTAATCCGTGGGAATTGAATCGTAGGGACCCTCCACCATAGCATGTAAGACTGTCTGGAAAAGGAAAAAGAGAGTAGGCTATTGGGGGAGATTGGCTGCGAGAAGCTCAAGAAGCACGCGAGGCGAAGATTGAGGTTGCAGGGGCATAGGCGTGGATGGTGCCGTTGTAGGTCACACGCCTCTCTGATATAGTGCGATGACAGAGTTTCCATAACCAGTAAGTTTGACAAAGATACAGAAGCGTCATCGCCATCGTCGGACCTAGAAAGTCTAGCCTTCTCGACATCCCTCAATCCAAGTTTCATCCTTTGCAGATTCTTTTTGCCGGAGCTGACCAAGCTTTCCCTTCTATTGCTCACGTTGTACCCGGGAACTCTACCAGAATCGTGAAGGATCGGCCGCACAGCAAATTCAATTCCATCCCATCCAGACAACTAATGAGAAACCTCGCCTCTTGAGAGTTGTTTAGCTGTGACTTGCAAACTATTTTTTGTGGTTTGATTTCGTAGTTTTTGCAAGGACTTGCTTGGGCTTTTCAGTTGGTTCCTTAAGTTATCGCTCCTACGGGGGAGCTGATACGGAATATTGGTCGGTGTCTAAAGTTTTCCTGCACTCGTGTTTGAGGATTAAGAGGGCGGCTCACTTGGTCCGCAACATTTGATGCGGGTTTATTGTACCGGATTACTGTCCACTGCTCTTCGAGACCTCGAATGGCAAAATTGCAGCATATTCGTCTACCTTGTTTCTGAGAGAAAGGAGCAGGAATAGTTCACCATATTGTTTAGTCTATGGTGCAGCCGAGCATAAAAATTGGTACTATGGTGTTAGTTGATGAGCAGTCAGGAATTTTTGAAGCGGGTACAAAGGATGTGATGGGAACCGAAGGGCTAGCATACATGGAACTGTGAGAGACAAAAGGTCGAGTTTCTCACCCTTGGGTTTCTGAGGAAGGGCAGGTAGCCAGGAATCATGCGAGGACCGGTGGTAGATACGAATACCCACAGCGGTTATCTCCCACATTTTGTTACTCTCCTTGCATCTCCTTGGTTTATTTTGGCAATTCTTCATAGGTACATTGACAAGAGTTGAATAATGAAATATAATGGAATTTCCTTTGATTGTAGATGTTATAGACGAAGACATGATGGGGGATGCGGCGAGATTGACTCTCTATCCATCGAAAGCCAAGGTGCCGATCGATATGGGCGATGAAACTGAAAGCAAACCTTCTTACTTGTCCATCCCCTCATTTCGGAGGTTCCACAACGTGTGGGTAGGTCAGGAAGATGCTCTCCTTTCTGAGCTTAAGGCAGCGCTAGAGAATCCAACAACTGAGCAGGGATTTGCTAGGTTGGTGAGGAAGTGCTACCAGCATTTCTCGGAGGCTGTGAATGCAAAGATTCGAGCTTCGCATGAGGATGTCACGTACGTGACCTCCGGGGCGTGGAAAACTCCATTAGAAGCAGGGTTGATGTGGATGGGCGGGTGGCGCCCCAGAACCGCCATAGTGTTGGCCTATTCCTTGATGGGCATCCAAATAGAGAACGAGCTGCAGCAGCTGCTGGAAGGCATCATCTTGCAGTCCATGGCAACGCTCACAGCTAAGCAACTTGCTAGGTCTGCCACCTCTACCGAACACTTCAAGCATTTGACCTAGTCATCCTTAGTTCTTCAATTAATTAATTTGCGGCACCTTGTCTAGATCGAATCATGCAAAGACTGCAAACGTGCGTTTGCTCTGGGAAGCTTTTGTCCTGCAAGTACTTGGATTCTTAGCTGAACTTCATTTTGAGACTGGATTGATTGACTTTCACCAGGTTGGATGCAATCCAGCAATATACTTCCACAAAAGAGAAAGAAATCTCAAACCGTCTTTCTGTGCTACAGGTATGATTTTATGGCTACAGTTCTCCTTTAAGTCCTTGATGCTTGATGTTAGGCAGACAGATAGTACCAATGTATGAGGGGTTTTAGTCTCAGCAGGATTATGGCCTCTCGTATCTGCTTGGCTTATTGTGGCTTTGTATAAGAGGGTCTTCTGTTTGGCTACAGATTTTGGTGGCAGATCAGCAAACTATTCGAGCTACCATTGCTGATCCTCCCAGTGAAAGCTCCAACATGGCGGTAACCAGGGATGCAATGGAGCCCAAGCTAACTGGGCTTCAGGATCTATTTATAGAAGCTGAAAAGTTGAGACTGCGAACCCTTCAAGAGCTTTTCGCTGTGCTGAGTCCCATCCAAGCAGCTCAGTATATAGTTGCGGCAATCCAAGTGGCGAAGGCCTTCTGTAAGCTCGGTGAACAGTTCCAAGAGGCACATTCTGGAGATGCGAATGGACGATCTTCTAGAGATTCTGGATCGAATGTCTGGGACATTGCATTTCAAGGAGATGTGAAGCGACTACGAGAAGCTCTGGATATGGGCTTGGATCCATCTGATATAGATTATGAAGGCCGAACACCTTTAGTACGTTAATAGATTTTTGTTTCTGTTCATTTTGCTGAGGCATTTACTCGTGCTTCACCTCGTTTGCTTCATTTTCGCGGAACAAATGTATGTGGTTGGAGAAACTGGTGTATTTAGGTAACGGGAACATGAGAGTTCGTGGTCTCTGTTAGCTAACCAAGAACAAGCTTGAAAGGTATTTTAACTTTTGAGGTTGGGTTTGTTTGGCGGTGAGCAGCACCTCGCTGCAGGGAAAGGCCATTTAGAGTGTGTAGCTCTACTGGTGGAGAGAGGCGCTGAAATCAATGTCAAAGGTGAGTCCGGACTGCTAGGAGATTGCCGTCTTTCTCTTTTACGTTTCCATTCACTATAAACTGTCATTCTTGATGCGAAGTACCGACACTTCTTCTGTTTGGGTAGATAATGATGGAGTGACCCCACTTTTGGACGCGTTGAAAGGGGGACACGATGAGGCTGCAAAATTCCTTCGAAACAATGGAGCGAGGCCTGACGTTAAGGTTACTTCCGTTTTACAATGTGATTTTTCTACAAATCCTGGCATAAAGCACGAAAATCTCCCACATCATGCTTCCGGTTCTCCTGACGTCCCTTATTCGTGCAATTTTGGGCAGGACGCTGGTAATGAGCTGTGCAAGGCAGCAGCCTGTGGGGATATGGAGTTCCTGGAGAGGCTTGTGGAGGCAGGCGTGGATCCCAATGAGACAGACTATTCTCAACGGACACCGCTGCATATTGTAGCAGCCGAAGGGACAGCCAAAGACGCAGAGTTTCTGGTGCACAATGGCGCTGATGTGCTTGCCAAAGATCGGTATGCCCTAGACTCTCTCTCGTTTTTATCACGGTTCGATTAGCATACTCTGGATAATGGTAGTGCCTTGATAATGTATATGTCAGCATCGAGATGCTTCATAAATGTCAACATATGCTGAATATGGAAGAAAATCTTCCCGAGCTGGTGTTGGACAAGTTATCGAGAATTATCAATGTACTCGCCCGGATGTTATTTAATCAGAGCAAGACATGGAATTTGGAATCTCTTCAATAGAGCATTGAAAGCTTTTTCCATTGGCAAAATGAAACGGCATTAACTTAGCAGTGAATAACACACCCAATGGAATTTTGCAACAGGCATGGATACACGCCTGTAGATGAAGCACGGGATACCAATAACAATGCCACTTTGCGGGTCTTGGAAGCCGCGGTCTTGCAACGTCAGCAAGAGTTGGACGACGAAGACGACACTTCTGATGAAACCAGTAGTTCTTCTCCTTTCGACAACAAAGATGATGTGGACATGGTGTTGACGGAAGAAGATCAGTGGTGGGTCGTCGTAAAAATTCCACACAATCTTGTCAAATGATATGGGGAAAAATCTCTTATGCTATTTGTACTTCCTCTTCCAAATTTCACAGCATCAATCAAGGAGCAAAACTAGGCTGTGAATTCTTCAGAGAGTACGTCCTCCTGCAAGTGAAAGTCTTTTGAACCTCTCCAACTCTGACACAGCTCCATTTTGTTTGTCAACAGCTCTGCGTGCTAAAACATATTCACCGATGCTAGCTGCAAACTATCAGAGGAAGGAAGAATACTTAAAAGCCATCCTCATCAGCACCGTGCTGTTGTAAGTTTCACGATTCTGGGTGAGTTCGAAAGCAGTTTAAAATATGAAATATGAAGAAGTGTAGCTCTGTGTGTGTTTGGTACGCCAAAGATGAAGAAGATATAGTATTAGCCATTCTAGACCAATGGATAAACATCAATCATATTGAATCTTTGCAAGATTCATCTAATATACATTAGTTGGTAGAGAAAAATGCTTCTATTTGTGAGATGCATAATCTGAAGATCAATGCAAAAAGTTGTTTTTTCTAGCATTTTCATCTCAAATTCATATATAAGAAGGTTAGTAGCTGCAACACATGTAGATGTAGTATCCACTAAATTAAGATCATCAACATATACAACAATGATCACAAAACCAATTTTATCTCCTTTAATAAACAAACAAGGAATTAGTGGATCACTTATAAACTTATGTATAATTAAATAATCTCAAAGACGTTGATACCACATACATCCAGATTGTTTTAAATTATATAAGGTTATGAAGGACAAGAATATGATAAAAACAAATAAACAAGTGAAACTTTTCTCAAAGAAAGATGACAAAATAGAAATAACTTGATATGTATATTAAGAAAGAAACTGGAATGGCTATTACCAAAAGCCAAGGAAACTAAAGATCTTTGAAACTAGATTAGAAGCAAGAAAAGAGTTGACAAGAGTGAAGAAGGCTTCACTCTTCTTTCTATATATATTATCTAATTAGGGGCTACGTGGCGATGTTCTATAGAACTTCTAATATATGTTGACTTTGTAAGACATATGCCTTGACTTACAAAACAAGTTTTTCTACGTGTGGGCCATATAGTTAGCTTGGTCTTCAAGGTAACAACATGTGTGGCACATGGCCAATTTGTTGACCACGTTTTTAATCCAAAAAGTCAATTAAAGACACTTATAAAGTCAAAGTAGCATCTATAAAGCTTCTAGGAAGCTTCCATAGTAAATATTATAGAATTAACTTACTTTTACTTACTTTTACTTACTTCTATCTATTTATACATGTAATTATTGGCTTACATATATATGTCCGTGACATTACCCTCCTTTTTAAGGATGAGTTCCATGAGAAGCGGTCATCACATGTTGAGAAAATCTATGATGCGATGAATTGTATTCATTACATACTCTGATCTTTGTTCTCTTCGAAGACGATTGATAGGGCCTCTCAACCATCGGTAGTATCCCATATCAGGGTGAAAAGACCACCCATTTATTTGATCGTTGTTGAGGCTTTCATAACTTCCTTCAAATAAAATATTTGGAACACCGTGAGGAGTTGTTCCTACCTCTAATAAAATCATCAAACATTGAGAGTCCCTTCCAAGGTTTTGATACCAAACATGTTGTATCTGGCCATCTTTTCAAGAAAGAACATGTCGTTCTTGAAGATCTTTATCTCAACTGTGTTGTCTTGAAAGTTGTGACAATCATAATGTCTTGTCCGGTAGGTCAATAAACGAAGGCTCTTGAGTCGAATCTGCTAGTTGTTGGTTCTCCATTTTCTCAATGTCACAACAAACAAGGATTGAATGTTATCTTCCTTAGATCTTGTTTCTTTTATAAGTAAGATTTTTATCTTGATTTTGATGGATGTCGTCAATAAAAAGCCCCAACTACCTTTGCTGCATTTGTAAGATTCTTTACTGGCTTATATGTACATTCACTAATATCATATCCGCGTAAATAGACAAGATATTCTAATTTATTTCGGCGTCGCCTTGAATCTAAGACTTCTTCTACTTCAAACTCTTCATTATTGTTCACTTCTATGAGAGGAAGTGGAGCTTGTCTTCTGCTTGATATGTCCACTGTCTTGTATGGTTCAAGAAGAGACACGTGGAATATTGGATGAATTTTCATTGATTTCGATAGGTGTAAACGATATGCAACTGAATTGATTTGTGTAGAAATAGAAAATGATCCAAGCCTTCGATAGTCCAATTTGTCACAAAGACGAGTGGTCTTGATATTGCGACAAAGTAACCATATCTTATCACCCATGTGGAATGGTGGTTGTTCTTTTTGATAGACATCCGCATTGACCTTTTGTTGTTATTGAGCTTCTTTTAATTGTGCCTTCATCGTTGCATGTAGCTTTGACAAATGAATTGCCAAATCTTTTGCAGCAAGATTATCAACTTTTGAAAAATCAAAAGTATCAAGTCGTGGATGTTAACAATAATTCGCAAAGAAAGGTGTTTATTTTGTAGAAGAATGTATCCTATTATTATAAGCAAATCTTGCCAATGGCAAAAGAATTATTCAATCATCTTATTGGTAGTTAATGATATATCTTAAATACTACTCCAAAACTTGATTAATACGCTCCATTTGTCCATCAGTTTGAAGATGGAATGCTGAATATAGTTTTATATCCACTTTTAGAATCTTGAAAAGAGTCCACCAAAATCTTGATACAAATTGAGTTCGTATATCTGATATAATATCTTTGGATAATCCATGATAGCGATAGATATTGTCAAGAAAGAGCTTAGCTATTTCTTCACCTGTGATAGATTTTGTATATGGTTCAAAATGTGCCATCTTGGTAAAATGATCTACTATCACGAATATAGAGTCATAAGAACTTGAGATTGGAAGATCTATGATGAAATCCGTAGAAACAGAAGACCATAGTTGTTTTGGAATGGATAATGGCTGAAGAAGTTAGTAAGGTCAATGACAAGGAGTTTTTGATCTCAAGCAAACATCATAAGATTGTACAAAATCTTTGACTGCTTTCCACATTTGGGGCCACCAAAAGTCCCTGGATATTAGTTCCAAACTTTTATTGTATCCAAAATGTCATGTTGCTAGAAAGACATGACGAGCTTGAAGAACATGTAATCGAACTTCACCTTCTGGAATATGTAGGCATCCCTCAAAATATAATAGATTCTTCTTGAATTCAAACTTGAAAGTATCATAAGAATTTGAAGGATTTTTCTTAATTTCATGAATAAGAGGATCAGAAGACATACTTGACTAAACTTTTTTAATGAAAGTTGAATCAACAGTTAGTGTTGATTTCATTGCTCAAAGATGAAGATGCTCTGGCTTCAAAAGAACTGTCCATTGTTAATCGAAAGCAACATCTCCTTCCTTTGGTGCAAGGTAAGATCGTCTAGAGAGTGCATCTGACAAACCTTGTTATTTTCTTAGTTGATAAGTGATCTTGAATTCGAATCTTGATAAAGACATACTCCAACGAGCTTTGCAATGATTCAAAAGACGTGCCAACATAAAATATTCAAGGTTCTTGTGATCCGTATATACTGTGATTGGGCTGTAAGCACCTTCTAAATAATCGCACCATTCTTGAAACAAATCCATGATTGCAAGAAGTTCTTTGTCGTGGATCTTGTAGTTGATCTCGACTGCTGAAAATTTTCTAGAATGAAAAGCTATTGGATGAAATTTATCATCTCTTCCTATTTGTGACAATATGGCACTCAAAGCAAAGTTTGATGTGTCTGTTCCAATAAAAAATGGCTTAGAAAATCGACAGGATACAAGATTGGTGTAGAAACAAAGGCTATCTTCAAAGTTTCAAATGCTACTTCAGCTTCTTGATTCCATTGAAGTTTGTCTTTACAAGTCAAACGTGTAAGTGGAGCTGCAACTTGACGAAAGTCTTTGATGAAGATCTGATAGTAGTTGGCAAATCCCAAAAAGTATTGGACATCTTTTACTATTTTTAACACCTTCCAATCCATAATAGTTTGAACTTTCTTAGGATCCATTATAAGTCCATCATTTGAAATGATGTATCCTAAAAAATCAACTTGAGTAGTCTAAAATACACACTTTTCTATCTTCGCATAGAGTCCCGCATCTCTTAGTTTTTATAATACATGATGACTATGAAGTTCATGTTCTTCTATGTTCTTAGAATAGATTAAGATGTCGTCTAGATAACAGACAACAAAATCATCTAAAAACTCCCGAAAGACATCATTCATTAGATATTGGAATGCTACTGGTGCATTTGTAAGTCCAAAAGGTATGATGTTGTATTCGAAATGTCCATACCTTGTTTGAAACGTAATCTTCCATTCATCTCCTTTTTTGATGCGTACCAGATTGTATGCTCATCGTAGTTTTATTTTTGTATAGATCTTAGCTTGATTCTACTAATTAAGGAGTCTAGATATCAAAGATAGCGAGTACGTATTTTTGATAGTGATTTTCTTGAATCCTCAATAATCAACACACATCTGCAATGATCCGTCTTTTTTCTTCACAAATAAAATTGGAGCTCCTATTGGAGATTTGGAATGGTTTATAAAGTTCTTGGCCACATTTTCTTTAATATACTCCTTGAGTTCCGCCAACTCATTTTGAGATAAATTATAGATTGATCCAAATGGCGGTTGTGCTCCTTCTTGAAGGTTAATTGAGCAGTCATAGGAATGATATTCCAGAAGAGTATCTGCATTCTTCTTCTCAAATACATCTTAAAAATCTTGATATTGGCTTAGAATGCCACTTGAAGTCTTTCCACCAATAGAAATAGGTGTGGCATAAATGACACAAGGTGATCATTCTTTTGTAATATGCAAGAAAGTTCTTGCACCTACAAATATAGGTTTAATTAGACTAGAATTATGACTTTTTACTTGATTAACTATGCTCTTAGTTATACTTTCAAAAAAGTCAAGACTACAAGAAGTCTAATCTATTTTAAGATTATATTTTTCTAGCCATGATAAACCTAAAATGACTGGATTAGAAAGAGATCTAATGATATTAAATATTACAAAGCTACTATGACCATTAGTTGCTATTTCTATAGGAAGGATTTTATAAGTAACATCTCCTGAAGACAACAAACGACCATCTATGACTTCTACATGAACAGGTTTAGTTTTCTTCACTAAAAATATGCTATGTCTTTTAGCAAATTCTTCATCTAAGAAACATGTTGAGGCTCTTGAATCTGGCAAGGCAAAGGCTTTGTGATGTTTAGGTCGTAGAATAATATTTATTGTAAAACATGGAGAAGGTTCTGAGGAGAGGATAGGACCTTCACTAAGTATTGTACAAGATTCCAGCCACACGATCTCTATTGTAGCTGGGCAAATTTGTTTTCCGATATGCTGTCATGGACAAAGAAATACAGACTCGAGATCTAACAAAAAGTTCAAGAAGAACTGCCAAGAACTAGATTAATCAGATGCATACAAGAACAATATCACAAAGATGAGCTAGAACTCCAAGAGATGTATTGTCGAGATTGAAAAACTCT